CGTGCTGCAAAACGGCATGAAGATGACCATCGAGCCGCCGAAAGGCCTGATCGAACGATGCTGGTCCGCCGTGGGATGCACCAGATGGATCGCTGTTGTCCGTTCGGTCAGCCTATGTTCTGAAAAACGGGCGGTCAAACTTATCTCTACGAGTTGCGGACAGGTCTGAAGTCAAACTTGCTGCGTGCATTCTCCTCCATTGACCCTGACTGGCGGTGAGCCCAGAACACCTCAAAATGCCGGTGATGCTGCTTATGGATCTCTGGACAAGTCGTGGAAGCTGTTGGCACCAAGGTTTGCCGAAGCATGCACCAGGAGCACAGAGTGCAAGCAAACCTTCAGGCCAGCGAGCTATCTTGGCCTTGCTCTGGTAGACGGGCTGGTTGGTGGTAGCTGGGGCAAGACCCGCTGCTGAGCTTTTGAGCAATGAAGGGCTTTGGGCACACTGATGCAAGCGTATATCTGAGAAGGCTGCTCTGTCTTTGACAGGAAGATGCTTTTCGGTCTTTGTTTCTTCCACGCCCTCATTCAGGACCGGACCAAGGATTCATCTTTTTTGGTTGCTTGTCCTTGTGGCATCTCTCAGAAGAAAGCCACTCTTGTTTGTCCAGGAGCGCTGTACCTATGGTCCTCTTGGCTGGAACATCCCGTGCTGCTGACATGGTTCAGGGAAAGTCCATTGCTGGCTTGGTATTTGCTGTCATTCTCCATCTCTCCAGGTATCAGTTCTCTGAACCTGACCGGCAAATCTGTATGATGCAGCTCAGGAGTCATTTCAAGATTGGCAACACGATTTAGGACAAGTCATGGACAGCCAGAGTCACTTGCAGGATGTTCTTGGAAGAGAATGACTCGGTTCCATATGCTGCTCTCCGATACACTGCTGCAGAGGTCGGGGTATCGTTACTGCTGCTGCTTCCCTACGTCAAGTATGTGTAGACTGAGTTTCCCTGTCTGTCTGAAGCTACATGGTATATTCTTCAGGCCAACTACGGTGGCCGCGTCACTGACGTTCATGATCGCAGTGCTCTCAGTTTGCAGAGTTCGGTACGGCTGTCGGACTCAGAGTATATGGGTTTGTATTGTCGTGTCTGGGGGAGCTACAGGCCCTCTACGCCTGCAGCATTTCCGAGTCTAGGATGCTTTTTGTTACCTTCAGTTTGTTGCCCGTCACCTCAGTTGACCAGGTTTGCTAGCCATAGTTCCTTTGAGGGCTTGGTACCCAATCATGTCAAGCTTTCCTTTCAGACCTAATTAGGGGGTGGAGTTTGCTAACCCTCCTGATCTCCATGCTTCGTGGCTTTGGCGGGAGATTCTTAGGGCAGACTGGAGAGTCGAGCTCTGCGACGTTCCAGTGGCGGAGGTCGCTGCATCAACTTCCTGCTCACGGACTTCTACTGCCCAGAGATTCTCAAAGACGACTACAAGTTCTCTGCCCACCTGACATGATTAGTGCCGGCTAGCATGGCAGTGTTGGCTTGCTTGTCTGCAAGACCTCATTGCTCTCTGGCGCTGACCTACCTGCTTGCAATTGCCAGCCTTCTGGCATCTACTATGCGCCGGCCTACTCTGTAAGTCTGGAGCCATACATCGAGCCGCTTGGGCCGTGTTGGCGGGATCGGTGAAGATGTGCCACATGGCAGTAGGACTGTCTGTACTCCAGATGAAGCTTGAAAGGGCTGTCGAGCAGTCGATGCCAGCAGTCAAGACAGACGTCGGGGATCGAAGATGATCGGAGGGCAGCAATCTGTACACAATATGTACCAGGTACATCCGGAGCCTGCCCATCAACCAGATGCCAGAGGACCAGTTGCGGGTGGAATGTTTGAATTCGCCGATAGGAAGATGGCGGCACATGCTCTTGCGTTTTTGTGTTTCCCTGCTGTTGCACCACTGTGTTTGACTCTGCTACATGTGTGAGCGAGTCCGGGGAAGTGCAGCAGGCGTTTGGACTGCATGCCAATGCTAACCTCGTCGCAGCGATCAGCGAGGCTCGGCAGTGTCCTTTATAGTCTGATATCGTCTGATATCGTCTGCGTCATGAAGCATCATGAAGCGCAGGCCATGCGCCTATTGGGCACGGCAGCAGCCCTCCAGCCACGGACAGGAGGAGGCCAGTTGGAGCAAGTCCCGCGCGAGAAAGTCCACAGAAGATTGCGTAGCTCAGCGTAGCTCCTGCCAGGTGGGGGTGGTGCTTCTCAGGACGACGTGGTGATGGAGGTGGGGACACAAGGGCAGAGCTGAGATTCTCTTCATCTTGTCGTTCCAAGGCTGCAACGAAGTATCTCGAAGAGGTGCGGCCGCCTTTCGACACGGAGGCGGAATATCTTGATCGTTGCAAGCAGTTGCAACACATCAGTTTGCAGCGTCTTCCACCTAGGTGCTTTTTTTTGCTCGTTCTAAATGTCCAGCTGTTGTGCCTTGCTATGCATTCGCCAATGTAGAATATGTTACGGAGTGGTCTGACTGGAGGCAGCAGGTGGTAGGTCAAAGAGTCTTCAGCCTCGTGCACTTCTTGAGAGGCTAGCAACGCGAAGTATCCTGTGGACTACAACGAGTCCATGAATACCGTCCTCAACCAAGCGACTTGATTGCAGAGAGCTCAAAGGTGATTGTTCGGTTAGATCAGGCATTGGTTTGCTTCAGGCTCCCGGTGTGTTTTGCGGCCGAGTGTTGCCGCTGACCGAACCTCTATGCATCCATGTGGTAGGCTTGCGCACTCTATATCTTCGCCTTAGTTTCAGTTCCCCCGAATCCATGGTGCATTTGGCACCAAAGCGACCCAGGAACAATCGCATCTCGCCCTAAATCCTAAACCCTCGTCCCTAAACATCCCTAAGCCCTAAAGGACTAAGCCCTAAACCCTGCAGCAAAGGAGCTTCTTCGGTTCAACAAGCTCATTTCGAAGGTCCGAAGTGGCTCTGCTGGCATTGGGCCCGATCTAACTCGCCTGGTAGCCATTTTTCCCCGTAGGACAGTCTCACCTCATCCCAAAGCGATGGAAGCAGGTCCTCCCAGCCTGTGCAGCTCTTTTCCAAGGCACCCTGACCGACGTGAAGAAGGCTGTCAAAGGTGTCTTGGTCTCCAACTCCTATTCGTATCATGACCATTGCTATTATCAATATTGCCATGTTGAGATAATTGTCAGTCTAGTTTCAAATTTATTCTTCAAGCTCAAGCAATAAGGAGCCCGGAGAGTCATCTGGCTGTTTGGGTTTCAGTGCCTCAGACCCTAAACCCTAAACTACTCTTTCATATATA